AACCTAGAGACTGGGGAGGATAGGCATCAAAGACCACAAGTTTATTTATTTTGTTATTCCATTTCACTTTATTATTTTTTCAGACAGGGTCTCACTCTGGCTGTGTCACCCACACTGGGGTGCAGTGTGGTCACAGCTCACTGCAGCCCTGAACTCCTGGCTCAAGTGATCCTCCCACCTCAGCCTCCCAAATAGCTGGAACCACAGGTGCAGGCCATCATACCCAGCTAACTTTTCTATGTTTTGTAGAGATGGGGTTTCTCCATGTTGCCCAGGCTGGTCTCGAACTCCTATGCTCAAGCAATTCACCCACCTCAGCCTCCCAAAGTACTGGGATTACAAGCGGGAGCCACCACTCCAGGCCTACAGTTTTAATTAACATGTTGTTAACAATGCTTGAAAAACTGCAAATAGCTTAAAATAGTTCCTAGCTTTCTTTTGTACCTAAGAATATAAAACAAGTCAATAGTTAGGTTGATACTCCCTACAGTCCGTGGCAAAGATGTGGAGACAGTGGGACCCGTTCACCACTGGTGGGAAGGTAACGTGCTATGGCCACTTTGAAAACAACCTAGGCTTCTTGTATCATTCCATTTACTCAGGTCTCATACAAACTTGCTCAACTTATATGACTCCTAGGTCCTCTATCGGAGAGAGCTGAAAGCACATGTTCCTTTAACAACTCATCTGTACTTACTGCAGCATTATTCACGGCAGCCCTGAACTGGAAACAACGCAAATGTGCATCAACCAGTGAGCAGAGAGAGAAAACGTGGTGTAACCGTAAGATGGAATACTGTCCAGGAATAAAGGGAACACACAGCAACAGACACTGCGACACGCATGGACCTTGAAACGTGACGCTAAGTGAAAAAACAAACACGTAAGACCAAGTATTATATGATTCCACTGACATGAAATGTCCACAAAATGCAAATCTACAGAAACCAGAAGTAGATTACAGGTTGCCTAGGGATGAGGAGAGGGGGAAATAGGCAGTGATTACCAATGGACGCCAGGGGTTTCTCTGGGATGATGGAAATGTTTTAAAACTAGATTGTGGTGAGGGTTGCACAACTTAGCTAACTTACTTAAAATCAGCGAATTGTTTATGGCATGTGAATTATGCCTTAAAGTTGTTAAAAACATATACACACGAAAAGAACCGGTGCTGAAGCCCCTGGTAGCTATGAAGTGTTAAATCTATGTTCCGGTTTTCTCTTACTTTCTTGACTTCGGAATGGAAAAGATGACATCAGTCCATTAGCATTATGAGAATGCAGAATTTTGCTATTCAATTTCCTCTTAAAGATAATAAAGGAACACGGGGGAGGGAGGCATGCAGGGGAGCAAATAAATCTGCTCTTTCCTCATTACGGAGTTCAGACTGGGTCACAGCCCTATTAGGCTTAACCACGCAGAGCTTACTTATTACTGCTTGCTGCCGGCGGGGGCAGTGCTGGGGCCTGGGAACCGGCAGAGTCCAGTGAGGATCATGGCCACGGCCCTAGGAACACAGGACTTTCAGAATGGGCAAACCCGAGCCAGACGCCTAGGCTAAGCATGATAATGGGCACTCTGAACAATTAGGAAATGACACTACAGAAATTCTTACCTTTAGCTCATGTAACCAAAAACCTTACACAAGTCACTTACCTCCCAACTTTAAAGTTAGGTTTTATTTGTTAAAGTCACTATCAACTTCCTAATTATACAAAATGAAAATACCGATGTGGTAAGCAGGGAGCCCATGCCCAATTATCTAAGACGAACTTTCTTGCACCTTTTCTCCCAACTCCTGATGAATTAACTCTTGCCAAGTACCTACTAAACTCACTGCTTGACTCAGTGGGGTCAGCTCTAGCAGCTACTAACCTACCAGCTCCGCTCTGCAGGCTCATCAACCACCCTTGTCTGTCTGACAAGGCACTGAGCCATATCCAGCATTGTTGCTGTGGACAAGGAAGTAGCAATGGGCCATGTCTGCAGTGGCTGTGGGCTGACAGCGTCTGTTAACAGAAGGCTGGAAGGAGTAGGGGACACCAGCATACGTAATGGCCTTGGCTGGGAAAATGGGTCACGGGCGAAGGAAGAGCAAGGACAAGTCAGAATTTCTGACCATCCAAAGCCAGGACACCAAGAGTGCCCGAACCACAAGACCACGACACACACAGCAGGTGCAGCAGGTGAGCACTGCGGACTATCTTCTACTCCCTGGAGAAAGGCTTTTGAGAATGGTTCTAGCTTAAAGAAAAGACAAATATTTAAGTTGATGGAGATCCCAAATATAATGATTTGATTTTTATAAATTATACGACTGTACTAAATCACATGTACCCTAAAACTATGTATATCTATTATGCACCAACAAATAACTATGAAGCTAATAAAGTAACACAGTTCATTGGCCTAAGGGGAGAAAAAGGTTTTGAATAGGAAAGCAAAATAGTAACAAGTACATAAATGATAAGAGGGCCAATCTGACAGAAATGGTTGGAATTATTTTTAGCTGAAGTCGATAGGATGAAAATCTAACCTTATGAAAAGTGAAACGCTGTGGAAGAGTAGAGGAAGCAGGAAATCGGAAACGCTATATTTATCCCCTCCCCTCCCACCATCCCCTTGGGTATTTCCTTTATTTTGAGAAGAAAGCAATAAAACTATTCTCCATACCAACATTCTCCCTCCTCTCAGAGACACTCTGGCAAACAAAGCAGCCAAAGGCCTCATGGAACGTGGGGCCACACGCTCAGGCCCAGAGCACAAAACCACTGCCATCTCTTGGGCGGCCGGTACTCTGTGTGGCGCAGGGGTCACACAAATACCCTATCCAGAAACGGCTGTGGCCAATGACCAGGTGGCGTTTCCCTAGGCCTAGGAGACCCCTGGCCACTCTCAAGGCTGAGGGGAAGAACAGCACAGCCTGGAGAAAACAATGAGAATGTTCCCGAGGCCTCCTGGAGGCAGTGCTGCCAGTGGCTGCTCGCGAGCTTGCGGCTGAACTGCTGCTCTCTGTTGACAGACGTACGGATATCCCAACAAGGACATGGAATAAGAAAAACGACTGGCGGCATTTTCTCATGATTCATTCCAATCCTACGTTCTCTCTCATTCCTGACTCTCCAATTAAAATAAACTTCGCAAGGAAAAGCGGGATCAGGTGGGGATAAACAGCAACCTGCCTGGATAACAGAGCCGGCTGGCTGATCTAACATTTGACACGAATATTATCCGACATAAAAACATAATGTCTTTCCCCATAAAAAATTCAAGCATGCTCATAATTTACAGGGCATGTGGAGTTTCAGCCCTTAGCAATTAGGGAGCCAGCATCGGTCCACTGGGCTTTATCCAATGACCCTTTTAACTACTTGAAAATGATGTCTGATTATCAAGTAATGTTATGGCTTACCTATAAAAACTTCTTTTCAAAAATATTGATCGTTCACTCCATAAGCAAGGCCTTTCTGAGAAGCCTTTTTAAATCATGCATCACCCATTACTCATAGCTGGGACAAACACTGGACCCATTTCTTCAGTGACTAAGTGGGTTTCTGTGAGTAAGTCAGTGCTCAGGGAAACTTACTAACTATCCAGAGCCAATTCCACACCAGAATAATAGTTACTGTAAACTCGGACCTCTGGAGTTGCTGGGAGGCGGGGGTCAGGGGAGATCTCAACACTTGCTGTTGAAAGCTTTCTGGAATTCTTCAGTTGCTCAGGACATCAGCAAGCATTTTTGTGGATAACCAGACTTTTTATAAATTGAGCTCACAAAGACGTCAACCAAAATCAATAATACAGCTCCAGTGACTTCAACTGAAACTCCCTTTGGAGGAGCCAACTGGAAACTTCCAACAGAACCTGAGGCAGTATTTGACTGGAGCAGAGTGGCCCCATGGGGCAGCTTCCTGGGCCAGCCAGGGAGGCAGGTGCCCTCTGCACCTGGGGCCGGGACCCACTAGAGAAGTGACTGGGCTGCTTTCCCAGTCTTAATGCTGGGGACACTTCAGCTGGTCCACATCCGCCACACTGACGTTCCAAACGTGCCCTCACCGCCCCTCTTCCTGCAGCTACGCTTCCTGGTCTGTCCTATCAGTTCTCAGGCATCTTCTGTTCCCATGACACACCTGGAAAAGCCCATTCCCCAGTCACGTTCATAACTACTGTCTGTGACCCATGATCCAGGGGCAGCTCTGGGCAAAGTGTTTTCCCACGAAGTCTGTTTTACAGATGAGGAAACTGAGACTTAGACAAGCTAGTCGATCCAGCGCGAAAAAGCCGGGGGGGGGCAAAGGTGGGATTTCAGTCAGTTTGATCCCAAACCCATGTCGTTCCAGACTGCAGCGGGGAGAAAGGTCCTTTAAGATTTCAATTTAAACCTAATAGCGCAGGGGACCCACAAAGGTTCTATGGAAAAATAAGTTAATGGAAACCACACGTGTTCTGGGAAAGGCGGGAAATGTGTCCATCCACAACAGACAAACATTTTTCTTGCTAAGAAAACTAAATCAAAAAACTTATTGGGAAGTAAAACACTCTCAACAAATAAACTCTTTCCACTGAGCTATTGTTAAAACAGCTGCTTTATTTTGAGTGATTTCTAATATGATATTAAGATAGACAATAATGAACTGTCTTAAAAAAATAGGCCTGGCGCGGGGGCTCACGCCTGTAATCCCAACACTTTGGGAGGCTGAGGTGGGTGGATCATGAGGTCAGGAGATCAAGGTCATCCTGGCTAACACAGTGAAACCCCATCTCTACTAAAAATACAAAAAAAAAATTAGCCGGGCGTGGTGGTGGGCGCCTGTAGTCCCAGCTACTCGGGAAGCTGAGGCAGGAGAATCGCTTGAATCCAGGAGGCAGAGGCTGCAGTGAGCCAAGATTGGGCCATTGCACTCCAGCCTGGGTGACAGAGACCCCATCTCAAAAAAAATAAGGATGTATTCCCAAATATGCTGGTAACAGTTTTTCAGAGGAAAAACCCCCACTAAGAATACCATAGAGGTACTTTCTTTTTTATTCTTAATCTTCATGTAAATGACATACCTCACCCTCTAGACACCTGGAAGATCATTTTGAAGAGAAGGAATAACACTGAAGTCCACACACATTTATAATACGCCTCCTCTCCTTTCTCTGTAACCGTGTATCATCTCAACACAGGTTTGACACACAAAAAAAGCTGAGACAAAATCTACAACAATCACTTGTGATTACTCTCTTCTCCCCTCCCATTGAAGAATCTGAACCCAAGAGCAGGAGTCCTGTAGCAGTGTCTGATTTCTTCTCTTCTATGACCTCGAACTCCATCAGGGGTTCCCAAGAAAGTGAATATGAGGTTAAGCAAATCTAAACAGAAACAGTCCTTCTTCACCTTCTGTTCTGGAGCTGGTGCACTTGCTCCACCTTCACACCTCCCCCTGAGCCTCTCCCTGAGATGGCTCCTGATGACAGTGACTCTTGCATGAAACAGGGCAGTTCTCCAGAAACGAAGGCGTCGGTCAGAGCGTGAGTCAAGAGTCAGATGCACACAGCAATGTAGCTTCAATACAAGATGGGAGACTGTGGTCACACAGCAGGCCCCAGTCCAAACCTGCCCCCCGCTCAGAGGCCAAAGGCCGATAGACTGTGTGTGCGCACGTGTGCGTGCTTGCATGCACACACACCCACACAAGCTACACAAGCATGCTGGCACATCACTAACCGTCTGCTGGAAGATACTTCAGTATCATTTAAACTTGTCTTATGATAATCTGATGCTCTGTGATTACGTAATGCTACTGTTGACCAAGTCATTAAATTAATCTTCAATAAAGACTAAACGATGCCAGGTTCCTCAAGGCAGGGAAAGGCAGGTGCCATTCCCCAGAGCCTTTCATTTTGCTAAGAAGGAGGAGAGGAAGCTTTCTGCAAGTCTGAATCAGCTCAGTACTTGCCTTTTCTTGCCACCTGCCCACCTCAGTATCTGCTAGTTGTGTTAGAGAGAAAATACGTCTTTTTCCCTAAGCCATACTATTCCTACTCACTTTGCTCTGCCAGTAACAGAGAGTTCTGGGGCACTAAACTCTTCACAATGCAAGTTCAGCATTAATTTTGTCAGTACTGTTTCGGGGAATGAGGGTAGTCTGATCTGGCCTAGGAACAAATAGCCAAGTCAGGCAGACTGCAGAAAGAAAATCTAAAACTGTGACTTATGAAGGTATGAATATGTATAAACATGAAAATCAGCTTTGCATTTTAGAAAACAATACTAACATATGTATTTACAAATACCAGCACAGACTGGTGAAAAGGTCATTTGTGAGAGTGCCATTACTGCATTTCAAAACAAAATGTCAATTTATCCGGCCATGCTTACGTTTGATTTTTTTTTTTTTTTTGACAAGGTTGCCCAGGCTGGAGTGCAGTGGCGCAGTCTTGGCTCAACTGCAACCTCCGCCTCCCAGGCTCAGGCAATCCTCCCACCTCAGCCTCCTGAGTAGCTGGGACCACAGTCATGCACCACCACACCTGGCTAATTTTTGTATTTTCAGTAGAGACGGGGTTTCACCATGTTGCTGAGGTTGGTCTTGAACTCCTGAGCTCAAGCGATCCACCTGCCTCAGCCTCCCAACGTGCTAAAACTACAGGCGTGAACCATCACGCCCGGCCCTATGTTTCTTTTTTTTTTTTTTTAATAATATTTTCATGTCACAGTTGCTTGGTCTGTAACAAACATCACAAAAATGTCAAATAATCTGTGCCTTGTAAAATTCACTAATGTAACGGGAAAAGCACAATTTCACATCAACCTCTGCAGTGAACACAGCTGTGTTACTATAGAATCCTTACCTGCTCTTTGGAATGACTGATCTCTCAAAATCTGACTCAGTTTACTCCTAGCCCAAATGGAAAGGTCCTCAATAAGCCAGGAAACGGCCCTCCCTTTGGACGTGTGTCTAGTCCACAAAGGACGGCCTTCTGAGGTATCATCTCGAGTCTCCCAGACCTTTCCCTGTCTCCCTCAGTGTCTGTGCCCCATGATACAGTAAAGACCACCTCGACACCTCTCTCCTCACCTGGAACCCAGCGCAGCTTTGCCTCCATGCTTGCGCAGGCAGACAGCTGGAAAAAGCAACAGGAGACCCCGGCTCTAGTTTCAGCCAGCGTGCAGGCCTGGGAACCAACACTTCTCAGGACCTCTGCATTCTCACACGTAAAACAAGGGCTTGAATTAGAGAAGCTTGTGAGGCCTTTCCCAAAAATCACAACTCCAGCCTTGGACAGCTTCCCAAACGAAGTGCTCAACTGGAACTTCAGGTGTTCCTCCGGGGCAATCCTCGTCCTCTTCCTTCTCCTTAGGACCAGCACACGCATCTGTGGAGGACCTCCAGTAGCTTTCAGACATTCTACTCACTAGCACACTCCTCCGGGTGCGGGGGTTATAATCTTCCGGTTATTTTAGACAGCTTCTTGCTGGTGGTGACTTTATTTTCTCAAGTTGCCTCAACTTTTCAGTTCTTTGATGGCCTGTGCAGCACCACGGTACCAAGATGAGATCTCCACAGTCAAAAACACTATGTGCTCTTTAACATTTAGAAACTCAACATGACCAAGAATCATTTCAGAGAAAATAATCCTTTCACAGAAAGCTAGAGTGCACTTTTGTCATGAAATACACTGCAACACCGCAACTGCGTTCAGCAAAAGGGTAACAGGCAGCTGGAACCCTCCTTTAGACAGAAAACTTCAATGTGCTGATGCAGGAGATGGGTCCAATCTTAAGTGCCCTTCATTAGCTGGGTATTTGCAAAAGCTCCAACAGTCTTTAAAGGAACTTCAAATTAAAACTGAACAAAAGAAACAAAACCAGTGACTTATTGCATATAAAAAATGATGAAAGATTATCTAAAATGGAGCTTTGCTAGAATACAAATCTCATCAACAGCCTGACCACTACCTAGGGAGCTTCCAATCTGGAGAAGGGACAAGGACAGTTATTATACTGTAATGGATAGAGTGAAGAGAGTGGCAACTGAAACAATACAGTTGCTCTGAGAAACACAACTGGTTTTCTTGAATAAAGCCAAAAGACAGGGAATAAACATACCAACTCATAAAAGTACTGTTGCTATACTTGCTGCTGGCTGGAGAACAGTTACCGGAAAAAAACAAGCCTAATTTTTTTTTTTAACATCTATAAATAAATTTAGGAATGTTTTCCTGTTTCTCTGTCACGGAGAAGAAAAAAACAAACGGATGGCATCGCTATCTACACGCCATCACGTAGGCAGCCTTCCACCGCCTTCTGTGAAGAGGTGCCTTAAGATGCATTAAGTATTGAGTGAGTACCAGCTGCCTCAGAGAAGTCCCCTCACTAACTCCCACAAGGCTCTGACAGGCACGCGTCTGCCCTTTCACAGGGTGACACGCGGTACACAGTCGTGTGGAGCCAGCCTTGGAAACCAGGTCTGACCGCCCAGCGCCTGTGTGCTGCAGCCCAGAGGCAGCGAGAACCTCTGCACGACACTAGCAAACTTCTGCAGAAAACAAGCTGCGTGTCATCAGACACAATTCCACAGAGGACAAGAACAGATGATTCTGAAAGGATAAAAAGAAAGACACACCTAACAATGCTACAAGGACACAGAGGATTCCGCGTCACAAGAGTTGAGAGAACAAAAGCAGGTTGCTCCAACTCCAACTGACGCATGAAGATTCTAGGCTCAGTGACTCATTCGGGAATCTCGTGTGAGACATTCAGATTTCCCACTTACCGGGCCAACGCCTTCTGGTCTGTAAAGTGGAAGACAAGAGCAGCATTAAGGTATCTAGACACTTTCAAATCCTCTCAAGAAATAGAACGTTAAGTATAAGAAAGCGTGTTTGAACACCCACCAGAGTGGCTAAAATAAAGAAGTCTGACAATACCAGGAGCTGACAAGGAGGGAGAGAAACTGAAAACCTTCAACACTGCCGCTGGAAATGGAAATGGTTCAGCTAATTTGGAAAACAGTCTAGCAACTTCTTAAAAAGTTAAACATATACCTGCCATACAGCCAAGCCATTCAAGGCCTAGGTATCCACCCAGGAGAAATGAAAACATATGTCTACACAAAGACAGTTACACCAGTGTCCACAGATGCATTACTCCTAATAGTCAAAAACTGCAAAAAAAATTCCAAATGTCTCATAACCAGTAAGTGGATCCACAAAATGTAGTATATATCCATACAATGCAATACGACTTTAAAATAAAAAGGAATTAGTGATACAGCAACCCCACTGGAACTCAAACTTTACAACGAAAGGAGCAGATTCAGCAGACTGAGTAGTTATGATTCAATTACAGGACATTTCTAGAAAAGGTAACTATAAACCAGAAAGCCGACCCGTATTCGCCTGGGGCTAGGAGGAGGAGTGGGGATTGACTACAAATGGACACAAGGAACTTTCTGGGGGATGGAAATGTTCTAAAACTGGATTGTGGTATCAGGTACACAACTAGAAGCATTTCTTAAAACTCAACAAACTGTGGGTGAATTTCCTGGCATGTAACATATACATGACATAGAACTCAAGAAAGCCACGAAGAGCGAGCCTCCGAATCACCATCTCTGCTGTCTATGCTGTCTATGGGGGCACTCAGCAATCTTCACCTCTGTCATCAGGAGCAAATGCTGAAGGCACAGTCACACACTGCATCACATTTCAGTCAACGACGGGTCACATACGCAACAGTGGTCCCATAAGACTACAACACTGTATTTTTACTGTCCCTTTTCTATGTTTAGATACATAAATAATTACCAACGTGTTACAATTGCTTACAGCATTCAGCACAGGAACACGTTGTACGCATCTGAAGCATAGGAGCAACAGGCTCTACCATCCAGGTTTGTCTAAGTCCACTCTGACGTTCTCACGACGACGGAATCGCCGCACGAAGCACTTCCCCATAACCAAGTGACACCTGACTGTACGGCTTCGACACGGAAAACTACATCTTACATGTGTGTGATGGTTAAGGAGAAAAAAACAGAAACCCACTTGTATACAAATAGGATCCAGAGGTACATTCTGCTTTTCCCCTGGGTTCTTTCTGCCATTCCTGTTTAACGTCTCACGCCCTTCATACCTTTTTCTCTTCTCGGACACCAAATTAATGGTAGAAAATTGCCACAGAAAATTAATAGCATGAGCTTTATGACTTGTAGTTACAAGTGAGGCCACATAAAATGACTACTGCTACCTTATGTAAGAAAATGCCAGGGTCGGGAGTGGTGGCTCAGGCCTGTAATCCTAGCACTTTGGGTGGCTGAAGCACAAGGATTGCTTGGGGCCAGTAGTTCAAGACCAGTAACATAGAGAGACCCTGTCCCTTAAAAAAAAAAAAAAAGAAAAGAAAAAAAAAAAGAAAAAAAAGCTGACATGGTGGTACTCCCAGCTATTCAGGAGGCTGAGGCAGGAGAATCACCTGAATACAAAAGTTTAAGCTTACAGTGAGCCATAATCTTGCTACTGGACTTAAGCCTGGGTGACAGAATGAGACTACATTTCAAAAAAAAATCACAAGAGAAGGAAACTTTGAATAACTCTAGAACTTAAAGTTACCACCCCCAATTCTGAAACATTTTATTTTGCCTTGAAACCAAAGGTTTATAGTGGGCCTTGTGGGGCGGAAGCTTAATGCAAGTAAAAGGAAAAAAGAGTGAGGGTAAAACAGACTGAACCAAGTTCAGAAGTAGCCTAAACTTGCTGTGGCATTTTGATTTCACATTTATGAGCCAAAGATAAAAGATCAACTTCTGGGGCCAGGCAAAGTGGCTCATACCTATAATCCCAGCACTTTGGGAGGCCAAAGCAGGCGGATCACTTGAGGTCAGGAGTTCGAGACCAGCCTGGCCAACATGGCGCAACCCTGTCTCTACTAAAAATAGAAAAAAAAAAAAATTTCATAGTGAGTATGTGCTCACGAAGACAATCTGGATTTTGAGAATACAAATTATGGTATCCTCGATTATACAAAATAACAAGAGTTGAATGAAATTGAACAAATATTTGCATCCTGCTATCAGCCTGAACAAGGGCTCACGGACAATGAAAATAGCCCAAAGTGATGACTTCCCTTACAGAAATCCAAACTGCTCCGGTACCTACTGCACTTCCCTGCACCTGATACAGGTCTGATTCAATTCTGTCTTCTATCCTGTAACAGTTTTCTACATCTAACTATAAACTCTCCTATCCTATACAGTTTTCTACATCTAACTATAAACTATTCATCTCGGTATTCTCTATTGCTGACTCAGGGTTTTGTATGTTGTGAATATCAAACAAAAACTGTAAACTGTTTGAAGAAATATAGAATAAGAAATGTGTTATGCACAGAATAACCAACAGTATTACATTTCTGGCCTTGGGTTTCCAAATCAATTTGATTCACAGGTGTCAGCAGGACTTCTATAATAGGTTCCAGCTTTACCTGTGAAACATGGATGAATTTTTAAAACCATATATTCAAATAAAGACACTAACACTATTTACAAATACATCAATCAAACCCCTATCTGTGCTGACAAACCAGGTAAAAGCACTAAAATGGATTTGGTTAATTCAGTTACCCAATTTTCCACCATAACTTCCAGCCTACATGTATCCAGTGTTGCTTTATCAAAACAAAGACCAGGCATGGAAACTCTAGTCCAGGGTAGCCTCAGGTAAAAATGCATCGTATACTCATGTCTTTAGTTTGTGCTATGCTGGTGTGGCTTTATTTATCACAGGATGCTTTGTAAGTGATCTTTGATATGCTGTGTGTTTTATCTCCCCCATGGCCAGAAATGACATCTCTCATGTCTCTTTGGTATTTTCCAGCAGCCTCTTACGTGGGGGCTTGTGTACAATAAATTCAAGAAAATGTACTGTTGTTCAGGCTGACTTAGGTTTTCAGCAATCCTCATTATCTGAAAAAGACAGTAATTTTTTCTAAGTGTTTCTCCACGCACATATAAACTGAAGTCATGTGAACCCATAGTTCTGAGTGGGGAACTAACATGACAGGCAAGAGTGTGAGAAGATACATGGAAATGGAGTTTTCTAGGTGAGCTGCTGCAGAAAGCAGCACCTCCTTCAGTCCAGTGGCAGCCCCCCATGAGTAGACGCAGAGAGCCTGCTTACCACATGGAGTCAGGAAAAGGTTCTTTACTGTCGGGACACAGAAGACTCACTGGGTAGCCACTGTCTACTTTTCACAGACAGAACATCAACTCAAGTTCATACACTCATAAAATGAAGTACTCTTGAGTTTCTTTTCTTTTTTTTTTTTGAAACAAGGTCTTGCTCTGTCGCCCAGGCTGGAAGGCAGTGGAACGATCTAGGCTCACAGCAACATTTGTCTCCCAGGCTCAAGGGACCCTCAACCTCAGCCCTGGAGGAGCTGGGACCACAGACGTGGACCACCACGTCCAGCTAATGTTTGTATTTTTTTTTCTAGAGATAGGATCTCACTATGTTGCCCAGGCTAGTCTTGAACTCCTGGACTCACGCCATCCATCCATCTTGGCCTCCCAAAGTGTTGGGATTACAGGCACGAGCCACCATGCCCAGACAGTTTTTGTATTTGGTAGAGATGAGGTTCCACCATGTTACTCAGGCTGTCTAAATTTCAAAGTTCCTAACAACAAAAAACTTTAAAGGATAACAAGATAGTAAAATAATACATTTACATCACTTCATATACATCTTATTTCACTTCCTATCTACTGTAAGCAAAACAAAAAAAGTTATTCTCATTTTACAGACAAGGAAAATAAAGCTCAAAAGCCAAGTGACAACAGGGAAAAGTAACCCACAACGAGACATATTAAACTAAAACTATTGGAACGTATAGAAAAAATCTGGGTGTCCAGGAAAAATGACCAGGTCACTCCAAGGGAAATAAATGAGACCAGCATTCGACTTTATGCAGGATGACAATGGAGTAACAGACTTCAGATAATTAAATGTAGAAATATGAACCAAGGATTTCTTATTTAGCTGACGTGACCTTCAGGTATAAACAGCACAAACTTAAAACATGCAAAAAACCAGGGACCATAAGTGCCCTAGGCTCTTCCTGAGAAATCTACCAGAAAACGAGCTTCAGAACTGACTGAAAAGATATCAATCTAAAAGCAGATGATGAACATTAAACATAACCCGCAGAATTAAAACTAAGTGATTTTATAAAGGGTACAGCATAGTATGTAATGCCTATATGCTCTGACATCGTCGACACAGTCCAGCCATCAAGAAGGGGATAATGAGGAGATTACATGGAAAATACAATCGGCCAGCTGACTGTCTTACAGGTATTTATAGGAAGTAAAAAGAAAGGATAATATTTCGAGTCACATGATGGAAAATAAAGAGAGGAGGGGGAATAAAAGGTTAATGACTGATTTATCTCTCACAGCAGGGAATCAATACACAAGAGGAGAAGAAAAGTATTACGTCAAAGTAACCATTAAACCAAAAATAGAAGCCTCCCTAAATATCAAAAAAGGACAACACTTTTCAAAACATCATAAAACAGTGGGAAAAACTTGAAGTCAAACATATTGATTTTATCAATTATTATAAATGGGCCTAACTGGTCTACTGAATAAAGGGATTTTCAGAGGAAAGCAAAGGTCATGTGACAAACTCAAGGGACACGTGATTAGGTGGTACAGCTGGGACCAGTACGAGCTCTTCGGGAATCCAAGCTCTCTTTATAGAAAAGAGATCACCGCCCCCACCACCGCCCCCCGCCCAAAAAAAACAGGGAAACTCTACCAAATATATTTTGATGAAAACCTCTATAATTAAAAAACAAAATTTAAAAACACCTGAATAGTGAAAAAAAGTTTTTTAATGCAATAGCCAGGTACGCGTTTATAAAATAAATGCCATTTGTGGGATTCATTCAATTCATTCAACGAATACTTATTGAGGCTGCATGTGGCCAGGCCCTTTTCTAAGTGTTAGAGATTGAAAGCTCGAGTATAACTCTTCTGTGGGCACAGACTCTGAAACAGAGGGAAATATATGTTGGCTAGACTTGATACACGCTGCTGTCAGCCTCCTCCAATAGAAGATGAATGGAAACAATGGCAGGCCTGAGCCCACACAGACATCAGTAGGTGCTACTAAAAAAACAACGCGCCTTATTAGTGCCATATGAGACCCAGGCACAAAACAGCAGCTCCTTAAAATGTTGATGCGAATGACTGCCAAGTAAAGCATTCTGTCACAAGAATGAAACTAATACTTCCTATAAAAGTAACTAAAAAGCCACGAAATTTTTCTCTGCCTGCCTCCCTTTTCCAGCGGAACTCTAACATTTTATATAAAAATGGCTTTCATCTCTCACGGCACAGAAGAGTTGATGGCTGCTGGCATCAAACTTGCTAAAATCAATAGTAGTGTAATTATCAGCACAATTCCAAATGCTTTCAAATACATCCCGGCTGGGATTTTCCTAAATTAGATATGTGTGCTTTATGCTGGTGGTCTAGGATTGTCAATAACCTGCACTAAAGAGAATTTTCAAATGTTGCTCAAAGCATTCTTTTTTATAGCAATTGTTTGACTTCTTTATACCTCACCCCTTTCAAAAAGTGTTTGATGCACTCTACAACATCCCAATGTCATACTGCTGTTTGTGATACTACTTTATTGGTACATTTTCATGAGCTGCTACATGCAAAGGATTTAGAACAGTGCTTGACACACGGGAAATGTTAGCTATTATGATATGAATAGTTCCAAAGATTCTTTTTAAAATATGTGAATAAGTGCATGAGGGTAAATGGATGATGATACTTTAACTTTCCCTATTATACTAGTTAAAAATGGGAAGGAATATTAGTACACAGAAATCTTGGAACATGTTTTTTAAACTACAGATTCTTTTTTTTCTTTTTTTCTTTTTTTTTTTTTTTTTCCGAGTTTGGGTCTTGCACTGTCACCAGGCTGGTGTGCAGTGGCAGGATTACAGCTCGCTATAACCTCCAGCTCATGAACTCAAGCGATTCTACTGCCTCAACTTCCCGAGTGCCTGGGACTACAGGCACGTACCATCATACCTAATTTTTACTTCCTTTGTTTTGTAGTGATGGTGTCTCTCTATGTTGGCGAAGCTGTCTGGAACTCCTGGTGTGAAGTGATCCTCCTGCCTCAGTCCCCCAAAGTGCTTGGATTACAGGCGTGAGTCACCATGCCCAGCAAAATGGCAGAGTCTTAAAAAAAAACATCAGCCAGGCGCGGTGGCTCACACCTGTAATCCTAGCACTTTGGGAGGCTGAGGTGGGTGGATCATGAGGTCAGGAGATAGAGACCATCCTGGGCTAACAGGGTGAA